ACCGCCAACCGCCACGAATTCCCTCCCGCCGCGCCTTCTTCCTCGTCTCTTCCGACGCCCCTCCGCCGCTGTGCCTTCTCCCCCGCCCCGCCGTCACCGCACCTTCTCCAAGCGTCGGCTGGTCGCGCGCGCTGGATTTTGCAGCGCCTGATGAAGCACTATAGTGACGTGCTAAATTTTGCAGCGCTTGGTAAAACAAGCACCCTCCCACGCGCGCTAAAACATCATTTCAACGCTGCAAGAAAATTTTAGCGCGCGTCTGTTTGAGATGCTCTTAATGGGCCATGACCTGCTTTAAAGGCGCGTGAGCGCCAGCTTCCTCTCGTGGCACTATAGGTATCGAGGAGGAGCTCCTGTTCAAGAATGACCCAAATTGTAACCATGGCATTACCTAGTTTAGGATGGAATCGAACTCGATAGAGATTGGAATAAGTAATGCACTTGGTGTTGACGGTTCAAAATGCTAGTACCATCGATAGAATAGCCTTGGATAAACCCATGCCTGCCGTGGCGGCCACCGGCGGTCGAGCGAGATCAGTGACGGGCACGGCGACCTTCACGTCTCCTCATCCTCGCCTTCGGACCCTGGCACGAACGTCTTCCAGGTGGATTAACGAGCAACTCGGCTCGTTAAGCTCGTGCTTGTTAAGGCTCGACTCATTAAGCTCGTTAAGATTAACGAGCAGAAAACCCTGGTCGGCTCGGCTCATTGAAAGCTCATTAAGCTCATGAGTGCTCACGAGCGCTCATTAACAGATTATAATGTGTTACGATACATAGGATAAATGTGTAGGTATGGTTTTTCAAGATGAGGTATGATGACTATAAAAAGAATGCACTAGTTTATTGCATCATATGTCGATTAGATGAATAGATGACGGAGGTGCTTTAAAAAGTTGGTCATGTAAGATGAAAATATGTGTTGTGTTGTTACTAACGAGCTTAATGAGCTACTCGTGAACTCGTTAGCTTGTTCGTTAAGCTCATTAAGCTTAATGAGCTGAAATAAATGATTGATTTTGTTTATTAAAAAGCGAGATACAAACTTAACGGGCCAAACTATCAAGCGCCCGTTAAGCTCGCGAGCTAGGAGCTTTTGTCGTCCACGCCTCCTGGCCAAGGAACCGGATCCTTTAACATTGAGAAAGAAAGTTAGAGAAGTTACTATATCCTAACTTTCCTTCTTTCTATTCATATGATTATGGCTAAAATGACTTAAACTAATTTGTAAATTAATGATCTACTGTGTACATTTATAGTAATTACATACAAATAAATTAATGATGAAATAAAATTAATTTTAAATTATTTATATCTACAGTAAATATCAACAATAAACAACCAACTAACTATGTACTAACAGTCCCTAATTTTCCTTCTTTATTTTACACTAGGCAAACACTGTAGCACCGTGACTTTCCTTCGCAATGTTAGAGGATCCGCTTCCCCTGGCCAAGTCCAAAGGTGCTGTAGCAACACGTACCGAGGAAATATACTTGGTTGGCCACCACGTCGCAGCCTCCCGCATCCGCGCACGCCACGGCGCTCCTCCCCGCGCAGTCCACGAACAAGCTGTACTTGCCGATGCTATCCAGAGCTCTTCCCACCGCATCGCCGCCATGTCACCTTCTGCACTCTGGCCAGCCGCGCCATCGAGCCACCTCCTTCGGGATCCGTCATGACGAGCAGGAGGAGCAGCCGCTCTCCGTCCGCGATCAGGCGAGGCCCGAATCGCCAACGCTCGAACGCGGCGTGATCCGGGAGGCCGGTGGTGGGTAGCAGCTGGACCGTCTGGTCCGGGCTGTCTAGGCGGCGGAACTCCAGCAGCTCCGCGCGGTCGGTGATGCCGACGATGCGGCCGCGGATATCGATCACGGCTGTCACGACGGAGGCCTCGCGGGGGAGCCGGTGGTGCGTCCACTCCGGTGCTGGGTCTGGTGTCGGGAAGGGGAGGGAGAGGAGGGCGTGCTTGGAGACGAACAGGAGGAGGTGGGTCTGGTCGGGGTGCTGACTCCAGTCGCGTAGGTCCGACGCGGGCGCCGGCGCCGGCCATTCTAGGTCGAATGCGGCCTTAGGTTGGTCTGAATTTGGATTTGGGAGGCCACGAGACTAACATCCAGATCAAAACTAGTAGGAGTATATCGACAAGCTGGCCCTAAATAAGGGGAATCCCCTAAACAAAATCCAGAACGAATCGCGGGTATACAATGGCGTGCGTATCATATGGAGATGCTGTTGGGCACGCCGCGGCAGGTGACCCCCGGCGGCGAGCTGGGGGCCAGCAGCTCGTACGGCAGCACCCCGGCGCCGCACCGGTTCCGCCTGCCGTGGTCGGCGTTGCGCCTCTCGATGGTCTCCTCGGCGCGGCGCACGTCGGCCGCGAACATGCCGTGCGCCGCCAGGGCCTCCTCGTCGCCCGTCCACGGCGCCGCGCCCTCGTCCAGGCTCTCGCCCAGGTACTCCTCGTCGGGGGAGTGCGTCGACAGCGTGTCCACCACCGCCATGAACTTGGTCGCCTCCAGCACCCCGGGCATCGCGTTGAGGAAGAACCGGTGCGGGTCCGCCAGGAACATGGCGTACTCCGCCGCGTCGCGCTCCGGGTCCGGCAGCAGCCGCCGCATCAGCGGCGGCCGGTTCGGGACGTAGCCGCCCAGCGGGTACTGCCCGAAGTTGAGCGCAGCGTGCTGCGCCGACGCGAGCCAGACAAGCGTGGTCAGGATGTTGGCGAGGTCACGCGGCGTGGACAGCGGCGGCCACCACGGCGCGTCCCGGAGGTCGGCGTGGCCGACGTGGATCGACTCGTGGTACCACTCCTGGAGCTCGTCGTCGGACTGGACGGTGCCGGCGTCCGGGTAGTAGAGCTGCACGTAGGACTCCACCCAGTTGCCAATGGCAGACCACAGCAGAAGCCCGTCGTTTGCATAAGGGTAATCCTCGATGAGAAGCCTGATGCCGTGAGGCTGTGTGGCGTCCTCCACAGCCACTCCCCTGAGAAGAGTGCCAAAATGTCAGTAACCATGATAGTACAATTTTTTTTCAGTTGCAATGTCAGGCATGATGTTGTGGGAGGGTAGGCGTGCCTGCGGAGAAGGTCGGCGGGGAGGCCCTCGAGGTCGAAGCGCCAGTGGTTGCGGTAGTAGGCGGAGCTGATCTCGCCGGAGACAGGGCCGGGTGTGAAGCAGGACTCGATGACCCCTTCGGCGTTGATCAGGCTCTGCCGCGCAAGCGCATTGATCTCCAGCGTGTACCTCATGTGAGGGTGTAGGAGCTTGAAGATGGGGTGCATCGCGCTCATACGCCGGTGCGCAGCCAGGATGAATGGCTCCATTATAGCATGCGTCCTCAACCTGAAAGAGTTTGTCAGAATGTACATGGTAAGTATTCCGTGGTCACACTCTGCAGGAGGTGCTCCAGTTTTTGGAGACAGTTCAAGTAGCAGTGGCATGATTCAAATGCATGACTGGTTTTCACTTTCAGTGAGATTTCGATGAATTTCACTGAATTTCAAGTCATTTCGGTAGACACTGATATATTGACCTTCCAGTCAAAATATTTCAGTTGTAGTGAAGGAATTTAAATAATTTTCAAAAAAATTGCGCAAATTTTCAAATAAATTTTGGAATTTCAAGTGGACGTTTCGATCCTTTGGCCGAAATGCAAACAGAAATCACTGAAATTCAGTAATTTCGGTATTTACTGAAATATTTCTGAAACTGAAATTTAAAACCACTTCAACCTGAACAGTTGATAATGAAGGATGAACAAAATCATACCAGTGATTAACAAGCTGATGAACACCGGCGTCATTAGAGCTGACATGTGCCTTGCCAAGCATCCAGATCCAGTTGGATGTAGCATCACAAGCAGGGGTAAGGACCTTGCTTGGCTGAGGCTCCCCTGACTGGGCTGGAGGAAGAGAAAGCTCAATCGCGACCGGTTTCAATGTGCCACCTTGAGTCAGGAAGAAGATTGCCCTGGTTGCGTATGCTTTCCGCCCCTCGATCGCGTTGATCCGGTCCAAGAATGGCATGTACACATCATGGTGGTCTACAATGAAGAGCTTCTCCTTGTCTATTGCCTTTGTTCATAAGGTGTGTGATCAGAATCAGTACAAGAATGATCATTGGTACATAACTGAACATAAATTAAGACTCGGTCGTATGAAGGTACCTCTTGTACTGTCAGTCCGTTAAGCTGACCAGCAATGTGCTGTTCGGTAATTGATGATTCAGGTGGACCGTAGGTTGCAGGATCCAGCTTGCTCACTGGTGGAAAAACCTATTTCGATGTGAATTCCCAAAGTTATGTATTTATAAAATATATGGAAAATGGATTACTTTTACTGATCAACCCAGAAGTATATTAGTATTGCGGATTTCACTAGGGACCATGTGTTTTCTTAATTACCGTGAGCCTCTCGATGCTAACTGGGTTTATTCCTGCAACAGCTTGCCGCGCAAACTCATCATCACGGAGCCATGCAAACTTGTCCTCTGTGGAATGGGAGTCGCAGGATTAAAAGAAGCAACTCTCAGCGATCCTGAATCTGATCAAACATTTGGTGATGGCACACCAGCATAAGATAAACTGCGATGAACTTTACTTACTGGAAAGGATGCTAGGTGTGTCATAGCGAAGCATCCCTTCGCTCGACTCCTGAATCTTTTGGACAAATGGTATCTTCTGAAACAGGTGCTCCTGGAGGCCTAGCTTGAGCCTGAGACCCTCCTTGTAGAGGTTGTCAACGTGGTGGAAGCCTTGGAAGTTGTGGGTTTCAGCTGAGATTGATGCAATCAGCGACGGGATTAGGGTGTGAAGTACTGCTCGGAGCCTCCCTGATATGAAGGCTCCCTGTTTCAGCTCCTCAAATGTCTCATCTCGAGGTACATATATTCGATGCGGCTTCTCCACTCTGCTCTCGGATAGCATGTCTGCACCGCGGTTAGATGCACAATGTTAATTCTAATTTCTGTATCAGGTGAAATGGCAAATTGTTCTATCTGAAAAATTCAGTAGGGTCACTTTGTAGTTACTGTTTGATTGCCGGTCTTTGAAGTTATAACTAAGCATGCCATATCAGTCACAAAGAATTAAGAAATGCAATGTAGCACTATCAGAAAAAATAATACAACTACAAACTAAAAACTCAATTTCATGAAAAGGAAAATAGGAAATCAAACGACTGTTGAACCTTCGGTGGAAAGTAGTAAATACTGACAGTGGCCATGCACTCCAGAGACTGACAACAAAGAAGGTCCCACTATGTTTCTTATAAATTTTCACAGCCACCGGAACCGAAGAAACATGAGAAAGCTAAACAATATAACAGAATGTGCTAGATACAGTATATGGAGCTTCCTGGTTGCTACTGGACATACGGTTCCAACATAACTATTCTGTTCAGTTTGGCAACTCACGGTGTTTTACCCATGGAGCACGTCGAATAGATTTTGCAAGAATATGACCAGAACTAACTTTTAGGTCTTGTGTAAACCCATGCTTTTCCTTTGTCAAATTCAGACAACCTCATTGGATCAAACCATGTGGTCAAGGACTACTGCCTGATGGTTCAAGCTACCAAAGTCTGACAATGACATGGCCTTATGATCAAAAGAACTGGACAAGCACTGGTGGATATAGTTGGGCACTAAACACACACTTTTCTAGCTCAGGCCAAATTCTGTTTTCCACCATCTGCTAAGGGATTCAAGAAGATAACAGAACTTACTAGTATCAGTTGGTGGACGACCGGTCCGACATCGACGTGGGTAAGGGATCTTGTCGCCTCCAAGGATGGGTCTGATGAACTCTTTCCCCCTATCTGGATTCCCCAGATCGTTGTACATTGCATAATCATATATTTGGTCAGATATCTTTCGAACCCCGGTGCCATCTCCTCGTAGATCTGTCAGCACCTTCTCCCTTATTTCTCTAAGCCCGGGAGGTGTTTGAGACGGTAAATACGGCTGCATGAGGAGATCATCCATACATTATCACAAATCCGGTAATACAAACTCTCGTAAACTGAGTCAAACATTAGCAAAAATCACTGTAGTAATCATTAAAGAAATCAACTATAAACCATGTGTTGGGGGAAAAGTCAACTATAAACCATTTTAGAATACGGCGACCACAGCTTAAGTTAGACGTGTTTATATATGAATTTGTGATAATGTCAGTGTTAACAGTGCTGGATCCTTCTCCACTATGAATTTTCAATGGTTCTTGACTATTTCTTTGGCGAATCCTAATAGATCGACGAGCCTGTCAGTGTTAACAGTGCTGGAAAACACACACACAATTTTTTTGCGAAGTTACGCATATATGACAATGATGTCCACTAGGTTGATAAATGCAGTGGGTTAGTGCCAAGAGATTGTTCTCGTACAGGCCACAGATTTTCTCTACTTGGGCCACAATGACATGTCTCGATCAAATCATGCGTTCAAATTGGCCTCCTAGATTTGCAGTTAATTACCTCCGTCACTTTATTTTATCAGATTCTACTTTTATTTTCAGACTGTAGCTAATGGCCTCCTTTCTCCCCCTCTATCAACATCATAGACAATGATGCACCACCAACTTTTAGCAGCGAAAACCTCGATTAATCAACGCATGATTGATATTACGTTTACGTGCACCCAGTCAGGACCATAACACAATGCTACCAAGTCCATGTCTCCCTCCTGAACCTGAAGCGAAAGAGAAGTGCACGCACGTACCTTGTTGCTGAAGAAGACCCTGTTGCCGTCGCCGGGCAGCTCCCCGGTGGTCTGCACCCAGGAGTTGCAGTCGAAGTAGACGGTGCCGCAGGGCAGCGCGCCCTCCACGACGACGCTCTCGAGGAAGAACTCGCGGTGGTGCCGGTTGGCCACGACGACGGCGCCCGGCTCGCCGAAGCCGGCGTCCACCGTGAACTCCGCCGTGTACACCACGTGCTCCCCCCTGGCGCCCCGCTTCGCGCACCAGTCCTTGATCGACGCCCCGCCGCTCCGCACCGCCTTGCTCGTCCCTGCCGACGGCGAGACGGATCCATGAGCGTCACGTGTGGCGGCAAAACTAGTTGGGAAACGTGGCAGCGGACAAAAGTAAAATCTGGGACTCCACGCAGCTTTGCCGGCCACATGTTGATGGGAGAAAAATAAGGGAGAAATGATGGGGAGGGGAGGAAAACATGCCGATTGCAGTCGTGCATGGTGATTCTGGTCGGCACCCTCCACAAAAAGAAAGCGATTCCGCCCGGTCACAAAAAGAACAGAAAGTGATTCTGATCATCAGCTTTGCAATATTCGGCAGTGGTTTTTTTGATATCATGGGGAGTAAACGTCCATGGAAAATGTAGAGGGAGTATCCTACTAGTGCAAACACTCCAGATGAATGACATGACCGTATCACAAAGACACCATTATTGGATCGTCCGGCTGCATCTCCTGGTCCTGGATCCGGCTGCCACCTACCAATTTGGTCTGGACCATCAACAGCAGACGAAGCAACAGCTCTGCGTATCTGCACTAGCTCCAAACAACTCGAACGAGCAGCGATCGGAACAAATATTTTGCCAAGATTGAACAGCTCCAAAGACGATTGGGGAAGTCAGCTCGGCCGAACTAGCACTAGTACCAGGAATGAACTGACAGCTCTGATTGAGAAAGAGAGGTAGGGAAAGGAAGGATGCTCTGATGCTTACTGGGATCGATCTTGGTGCTGACGAGCTCGAGCAGGACGCCCCGGCCGACCATGTCCCAGAGCGCGTCCAGGTGGCCCGCCACCGCCTCCTTGAGGTCCTCCTTCTGCTTCCGCCGCACCGTCACCGCCGCCCGCAGCGCCACCTTCCCCTGCGGCGGCCTCGCCGCCGCCCCCGCGCCCTTCCCGGCCGACGCCAGCCTCGGCAGCTCCTCGCTCACGGCCGCCACCACCTTCACCCCCCTCCTCCTGCTCCTCCCCTGATGCCCCCGCCCTTCTTGCCGCAGCGGCGCGAAGCAGAGGTCGTTCCGGCTCCGGCCGGGCTGCGAACTCGAGGTCGCCGGCCGCGCTAGGCCGGCCCCGGCCAGCTCCCTGCACGAGGCTGCCATGCTAATAACCAGCTCCGGCTCCGGCGGACCGGATCTTTGATGGTTCCTGGCTGTGTTGTTTACTGTAGGTGGGAGGAGCTAGTGAGGTGAGGTGAGGTGAGGTGGTTAGCCGAGAGCCCCGCAGCGTTGGAGTAGTAGACTAGTGCAGCACTACGATGGAGCCGAGTCAGGGAGAGAGAAGAGTCGTGTGAGCCTTCTGTCCCGTTCGAGTTTTATATTTGCTGCAGTCAAGCGTGAACGGAGGAGGAGGAGGAGGTGTATGGAAGGGACACTACGACGAAGCTGCATGCTCGTTGTTTGACCGGTCGAGAGAGGAGAGCAGATGAGAGACGGGTGCAGCATTTTCGGGCTCTGGATGTGTGAATCCGTGCTTTTCCTGCTCATGAGAGCCGATCTCACTTGGTCCGTAGCCATGAGTCCTTGAAAAACTGCCTGTAGCTGTAGCATCGCTGAGTAATGCCACCCCTACGGGCTGGTTACTATCTCGTAGGGTGTAGATAGGTCCCGGTCGATCGAGATTTTATCAAGTAATCAGTCAAGTGACATTACATGCAAAAATGAAATAAAAAATTGAAAAGAAAATTTTACTCGGATCTTATTGTAAGATCTCATGGATATAGCATCGATTAAGACTTAGCAAGACTTTGTAGGTGTAGCAATTTCGGGTTTGGAAAAGCGCTTGCGTGGAAATGGAACAGTTTGCACGAAAGAAGATAGGAATCTCCGAAAGGATGTTGGATTTGTGCTCATGTCTAGTTTAGTAGTAGTACAGATATCGCACGTGCTAGTACTGCGGATTAGCTAGCATTTCTGGTAAGATTAAAAAACACGAGGACTGAAAAATATCTATTGGTAATATTTACACAGATGAATGAATCTATAGTAATGGCAATTTTATTCCACATATCATGGCAACATGTTTTATATGTCCCTGTAAAAAACAAACTTGTTTTATATGTCTCTTTTGCTCTTTTTTGTTGTTGAAAATCATGGACATGTTGCAGTTTCACCTGCAAACCGATCAGAAATATTAGATTATTTCTCCTGCTGAAGTTGCCATCAGACCATTGATGGTTTTTTTATAATATAAAGCATGTCAATTTTATTATTATAGGTATCTTTGGCACATTTATTTTTAAATATACCATGATAAATTTATAAATTAGAGGATGGCAATTTTATATAGTATAGCATGACAATTTTTATAATATAGAGCATGTCAAATGTAAATTTACATTCATGTATCATAATTATTTTTATTTTTTCTTAATTACATTTTTTTCTTCTAAAAAGTGAGTTAATTGGGCCTACCCGATTTTCTCCCACGCGCACCACGGGCCATTTGTTGGTCGCACGAACGACCCGCTGAAGCCAACATGGAAAGGAACCAGGTGATTCTCAAAAAAGGAAAACAAATGAACTGGGACGGTTCGCTGGATTGAACCATCCGGGGTAAACGAGTCGTTCGTTTTAGCGCCCCTCCCTGGGGAATGTCAACCACGTGTTGCGGTCATTTTTTCTGGTACACAATGATGTTAACACTAAAATCTCTACTCTCTCCGTCTCATAATGTAAGACGTTTTTTAAAACTACACTAGTTTAAAAAAACGTATTACATTACGGGGCAGAGGGAGTAGCAAATTACAATCATTGTGTACAACAACTCACTACAATTTCAGTGTACCAATGTATGAATGATGGATGCGCAATTGTGACCTAATATATCCGAATATTTATGTCCACTTTGCGATGCACCAGCAATTATCCTGCCCAAAAATATCTCGTTGAATCAACAAAGCCATTTACTCTGGTGGTCGACAATATTAGCATTGAAGATATTTTTTTAACTTTTCAAACATTGGGTCGATATGAACTCTGAATGGCGACCTACCATTTGGTAGCGGAGAATGGTCCTTGTACCATGTGCTCATGACCATGACCAATTGACCATTAGACTTGATTTTGCGGCTTTGCCCACGGGTTCGTTGTTCAGCTCCAGCCCACAAATTTTGAATTCTTCATGGCACTGTTACGCGCAAAAAAAAAATTATTCCAAGTGCACTGTTACTTGTGGTTGTCCTAAAAAAGAAACATAACTAATTTTTGTGTTGGTGTGAACTCTGCAACAAAAATTTCATGTGAAGGGGAACGGTGGGCTCATTTGTCACGTTTTTTCCTTCTCTTTTGTCCCATGTTAATTTGTTAAGTTGCACTAAAGGTGAGCTTTGGCAGGAGCCTGGGCATGACGCAAGGGAATCGACGGAACTGAGTGCCTATTTTATTAGATAGTCCGTCCGTTTCTAAATATAAGTTTTTTAAAACATTTTAATATTAATTACATACAAATGTATGTATACATATTTTAGAGTGTATATTCACTTATTTTGCTTCGTATGTAGTTCATATTGAAATCTCTAAAAAAACATATATTTAGAAACAGAAGGAGTACAAACGAGGTAATCTTGTATACATACGTCAGAGTATGAGACTAGTTTACGGTATATGTTAACATATATTTAACATAATACAGACACAAGCGCTCATATACATGCGCATACACTCATCTCTATGAACACACATACGCACACCCTACCCCTATGAGCACCTCCGAAAGACTGAGCGGGCATATCATCTTGAAATTTACGAAGTCACTGTAGGCATCTTGTCGTCGACGGGAACGTCTCCTCGCACTGAATGCGCATCGCCGGAAATCCTAAAATAAATCCTGGCGAGGTAAAAGTGCATTACCATTGAGTAGGGCATTTTGAAGACCGGGCTCCATGGAGCCCTTTATTTTGAATATTTTAAAATCCATAAATTTCAGTTGCAAAAAATTCTGAGAAAAATACACATGTATGCAAAGATGTAAAGTTTATGTGTGAAAGAATTCAGGATGAAATGCCTTGAATTGCGAGCTGTATAAAAAAACAAAATTGTGGACTTTATAGATGAACAGTACATATGCTAAGAGCCCTCGGATTTGTCTTTTTTATGTGGCTCACACTTTAATGTATTTTGACCTGAAAATTTGCACACGTGTACATTATGTATCTAGGTATATGTGTATTTATTGTCAGAATTTTTTAAAACTGAAAAGTTTGAATTTCGTAGTTTTCAAATAAAGGCCTCCATGGAGCTCGGTCCTCGTTTGGCATTTTCGATTACCATTGTACTTTTCTCTATTTCCAGTACTTTTTTCCCAAGTCAACTAATAAATCTGGTTTGACAGCGAAGTCCCGTGTGAATACGAATGGAAATGCATTAGCCGTCCTAGTACCATGCTCGTCTCTTTCAAGGTTTTAACCATGGCCAACAATTCAAGTCCAAGTCTCCGTGCTACTACTATTCGTGACCACGCATCACGGTATCTGCATCCATGGCTCCATGCCGATGCTCGCATGGTGGCATACACAACACGTGCACCCGTTCATCTAGTGCCGATCGATCTTCATCGTGTCGATCGAGAGGGTAGGGGCTCTGGATCGATCAGGCCGTGCGTGGACAAACAGGACCTGTAGATCATGATGCCGACGAAAGAACGGAAAGGGAGAGACATGCCCGTTCGTCTTTAGATATGTTGGGTGGCATGGCATTCGTCGGTCGGCACCAAATCTAATCTGTTCACTCCTTTTCTATCATCATGATTGGGTACCGCGCAAGCACCACCGGATCGACGACTGTGTACATCGATCGGTGCCGGTGCGTTTCCAGTATATTCTGTGCCCACTCCAGCGAAATGTGGCCAGCACTAGCGGACACGGATCCTCTGACGTAGTTAACCCTGCCTTTCCCTACCTTTCAATCGCTGACAAGTGGGCCCCGCACTAGCAGGATGGAGCATGTTAGGGGATCCTCGTCCAGCACTAGCAGGCTAGTAGCATTCCAACAACCGCTGGCTATTTTTATTCACGACTGTGTTAATGTTCTTTTCGACCTTCCACTGGGCTATTTTTCTTCACGACTGTGGTACGCTTTTCTGACAACACGGGCATGCCGTCCGTGTGTTGCTCTTTTCTGATGCCAACGGCCTTCCGTTAGCAAGCCAATGACGGCGCCGGGAGATTTTTATGTCAAGACGACGAGGAGATCTCCTCCAGACTGCACGAGCCGTCCCGGCTTAACCAAATCGAGTTGGACGGCGCCCACCGTCACCCTGCGTGATCTCAGCACCGTGAACGAGACTCTGAACTGTGGCAACCTCATTTTTGAGATCCTTGGTCCGTTAGAAATCCTCAGCTATTTACGCTATAAACAAATATAAGACATTTTAAGTCACTAAAGTAGTGACCTAAATCATCTTACATTTGTTCACAAAGGGAGTACTTAATAGTGATCATTTAACAAAATAAGTTTCACCATGTATTTAATAGTGATTATTTAACAAGTTAATACTATTTTAGGACTATTTACTGAAATTATGATGATGTTTTTTTATTAGCATAAGAGAGATCTCCCTCTCCGATTTCATTAACAGAAACAAAGGTTTAGATACATACTAGACAAACTAAAAGAACGAACTCAAAGAAACCCAACAACCATCATACATAGCTGAGGGTTACGATGAATTCTAGCCCAGCAACCCACAGTCATGCAAGATCCGCAAAAGGAGCACTTCATCGGCACAGACTGGGAGTCCCGAAACTAACATTTTAACACATTACAGTACGCAGACAATCGAACACTAAAAACAGTGAAACATCCTAGATAACTATTGAGGACACCGACAAGAACGAGAAGATAACCTAGGCTGGGGAGAAGTGTTGGGGAACGTAGTAATTTCAAAAAAAAAAAAATTACGCACATGCAAGATCATGGTGATGTATAGCAACGAGAGGGGAGAGTGTTGTCTATGTACCCTCGTAGACCGTTCGCGGAAGCGTTATATCAACGCGGTTGATGTAGCTGTACGTCTTCACGATCCGACCGATCCAAATACCGAAAGCACGGCACCTCCGAGTTCTGCACACGTTCGGCTCGGTGACATCCTCGCCTTCTCGATC